CTATAAAAAAGCACAGAATTGCAACAAGTGGGATGTGAAAAGTCAGTTAACTGTATCTTTTCCTCTTTTCTTCTCTCCTACAGGTTCTTAACCCATTCTATGTGTTTCAAGTGTTTAGCCTTGCCCTGTGGATTTCTGATAATTATTATTATTATGCTGGCTGTATAATTGTGATCTCCATGATCTCTATCAGTGTTTCACTTTATGAAACTCGAAAGGTGAGTCATCGGAGGACAGCAGATTTCTGATCATGTGTTTTGTTTTGGGGTTTTTTTCTGAGTATAAAACAAATTTTATTTCCACAGCAAAGCATCACTCTTCGGGACATGGCCCTGTTTGTTACAGGCGTCAAAATACACAGAGAATCAGGAGGTAAATTTAGCTAAATATATGCTGAGGGATATTGTTTTACTTTCAGAACAATTGCATGGAATTTTTGTTAAGAACTGATATATTTATATTCATTTTTTGACTAATTAAAGTTGCATTTCAGTTGTTTGCAATAAACTCAGGACTCCTCCCTCTGACTGTATGATTTCTCAGAGGAAGACTGTGTGAGCTCGGTGGAGCTGGTCCCGGGCGACTGTTTAATTATCCCTCAGGAGGGTCTGCTGCTGCCCTGTGACGCCGCCCTGCTGGCCGGGGAATGTCTCGTCAACGAGAGCATGCTCACAGGTAAACTCTGAAACCCCTGCAGCCCCAGAGACTAGCTGGAAGTATTTATTATATACTTTTACCATATTTTACAGAAAAATGAGTCAGTTTCTGTGGTATTGTAGGAAACTCTTTGCAAATAATAGTAACTGCAAATTGGTTGCTTTAATTAAAAAATGTGAACGTGTGCGAAGGTCCAAGCTTTTGAATAAATGCTCATAAACGACAAAGTTCTGAGAATTATTTTACAGAAAGTTACAGTCATTAATCCAAACCTGAGCTGTTGACCGTCTGTGTTGCTAAATTTGTTTACGGCTAAATTTGTTTACGGCTACCTTCGTGCGTTTGAATATTTCCTGCAAGGTTTAATTTCATTTAATTTCATTTAAT